CAAGGGGCAGCAGAACGGATGTGCAGCCTGGGGCTTGTCCCAGCCGGTCAGGACCCAGAATCCCACCCAAACATCACCACCGCCCCTAGCAGGGGGTGGACGCCTTCAAAACACCTTGTTCCCTGCTCCCTCCCCACTGAGCAGTTTTCTCTCTGCCCCAAAAACCACAGGCAAGGAGAGTCCAGGGTGATGGCTCAAGGTCAAGGTGCCCAGAATGGCAACCAGCCACCCAGCCCAGTGCTGGTACTTGCTGCACCCCAGTGCCCACAGTCCAGCCTCTCACTGCCCCGGGAAGGGCAAGTCCCTACCTGTCTCACACTGGGTGCCCACAAAGCCCTCAGGACAGTGGCAAGCGAAGGCGCCGGGAAGGTCCCGGCAGGTCCCGCCATTCTTGCAGGGCTCCGACTGGCACTCATCGACATCTGGAGAGCAGTGGGAAGAGAGGCTCAGCAGGCGCAGCACTGAGACGGGGCCAGTGGCAGGGGACGGGGGCTCAGAAAAGCAGCGCTTCTTCCACAGGGCATGGGCCTTCCCCACATCGCTCACTCCGCCAAACCCCCAGCCACAGGCCATCAGAGCCCACTGCCCCACACCTGCCCCTACACAGGGGCTGTGGCATGAGCTGGGCATGGGGATGTGCCCACAGGGGCACCTGGCAGAGTGGGGCTGTGCCAAGGGGCTGTGCCAAGGGGCTGAAGGTAGGAGTGCCTGCAGCACATCCCCTCCTCTAACCCCTGCAGGCATCACACCTTCTCACACCCCATCCTCTGCCAGGCCCTAGGGAGTGCCACAGTGTCCCATCAGGCTCCACGCTGTCCGTCACCCTCTTCCACCAGCACACGACCACAAGTGTACAAGGGAGCAGGAGCACAGCATGGCCAAAAACATGCTATCTCACACTGCTTCCTGCACTGTCTTGGCCAATAATTTTGGAGCCACACAGGGCACTTCCCATCCAGATCCTGAGATGCAGCACTTCTCTGCCTGGCCTTAACACGCCTCAGGAGATATTACCATCCTACCAATGATGGAGATGCCCACACAGCATCACTTAGCGGGGACCCACACATAGCTCAGCTCCTGGCCTTGGGGGTCGCCCCCGCTGTCGCCGCCCAGGTGGCCGGGGGGTATAGCCGGCGCGGTCTCTTACCCAGCTCGCAGTGGTGGCCAGCATAACCCGGCTCACACAGGCACAGGAACTCGGCGATGCGGTCCTTGCACTGGCCGCCGTTCAGGCAGGGCTGCGACCGGCACTCATCAATCTCTGCAGGCATTTGGGGCAGGGGAGAGACAAGGTAAGACATGAGCACCGGGCAGGCAGCAGGGGTCCCTGGGGGAGAGCTCTGTCTGCAGACACAGGCAGGGGGCACTGGAGTATGTGTCCCAGAGTCACAAAGACACAGCAGTGACCGCAGCCCACCAGGCTCAGCTGCTCCTCACCATCACATTCGGGGGGGTCGCTCCAGACGCCCGGTGAGCGGCAGATGCGGGGGTGGTTGTGCAGACTGAGGGTGTAGCCCAGCTCGCATTGGTATTCAGCCAGTGAGCCCACCTTGGTGGAGTTGAAAGAGGCCTGGGCGTGCTTCACCTCGCTGGGGACGCCGCAGTCAACCTCTGGGGATAG